AAATATGAGGGTACAAAGAGATCTGAACTAGGAGACACAGGTGTCCCTATGTTTACGATCTTTCAGTTAAGATGCCTTCACTCATCCCTGGTTAATATAGTAGCCCTACAAATTTTTGGTTTGTATTAGTACGCAGATTGTGCTCTACACAAAGTGAGCTTGGTGTGCGTGGGGTTATAAATAATGCTTAGTCTGAAAGACTAAGTCTCCAGGTGGAGAGAAAGGCAATTAGCAAGGCAGGGATGGGGTGAGGAATGGTGAATGGGGGATCACTCCAGGGTTGAAGCCTACCAGGAGGAATAAAACAAAAAACACTTAGCAGTGCTTGTCATCTGATTTCCTGAGTATAACACAGCTTTAGACCCCCTTGTAAAAACACATTGGTTGTCAACAATAAAATGATCTTGATGCTCCATCAATTTCAGATGACATAAGACAGAAATCTCAGCTTTTTTACTTAACTGTGTGGCCTTAGGTAAGTGACTCAAACTTCACACAACTCAGTTACCTCACCTGGAAAGCAGTGCTGGCACCTACCTCCTTGTGCAGTTGTATTCATTTAATACATTATAAAAGCATGTGTTAAACACTTATGAACAGCTAGCAGTTGGTAGGCACTCAATAAATTATAGCTAATAAAAACATTAAGAAAATTATGTGCAATAAAATTTGATTGAGAGCTACTTACATCTCTCTCACACTCAGTCCTTAATATATGTGTGTCACAACAGTTAAGTCTTGGACAGGCCTTGACCAGTCATCTGAGTGATAGCCACAGGATTCTCTCCTTCCCAACCTTCTGCCCACACTTTACAGCACATTGTAACACGGTCTTATAACAAAAGTCCTTGCCTCAAAGTTAAATAAAGTACCAAATAGGACAGATATGGGGGTGCCAGAGTGAGGGTGACAGAGACTCCCTCTTCCAATCACTACATTTTTAAAGAATACAAAGTAGGACCAGTTCGGTATCTGTTGACCCCTCCACCTGACCAACAACGGGAATAGAGACCTACAATGGAAGCACTACCTTTAAAAAAAGAGCAATTTTACATGTCCAACATGAACAAGTCTCAGCTACAAAGAAGTTTTAATGCTAAGCGAAGTTTGGGGTTTTAATATATTGCATCTGGACATTCTAATCGCTGAAATGAGCTTGTATTTGCCACCTAAAGTGACCACAGGACTGCCTATTACCTGAAAGTGAATGCACAGATTCCCATGACCTCTGTAAGAGAGTTCAGTGAGCAGTGCAGGAAGTTTACCCCCATACTAAAAATGTTTACAGAAACCCTGGGGGAAAGACAAAATATTAAGTGGCCTTTCCTTTCTTCCTTTTTTCATTGTGGTAAAATGCACATGAAATTTATCATTTTAACCATTTCTAAGTGAATGTTTCAGGGGAGTTAAATGCCTTCATAATACTGGCTACCATCACCCACTATCAATTACCAGAACTCTCTCATCTTGTAAAGCTGAAACTCCAAACCTGTTCAGCAGTAATTATCCATTCCCCTCTTCTTCCAAGCTCCTGAAAATCACCATTCTACTTTCTGTAACTTGCCTTTTGAAAACATTTTTTTCAAATAGATGGATTACCTATAAATGGTGGCATCATTTCCAAGTCTTCACTCTTTAGTATCCACATATCTTGGTTGTTTCCAAACAGGCTTACATTTTTTTCCATATAATGCTTTTCCAAACTTTTTCTTCCTGCAGTCATTGTCCAATAAATTATTCAGAATATTATCAACTGTAACTTAATCTAGACTAATTTCTCTACTTCAGATCTCTTTTGAGACCAAGCAAAAAACGTGAAAAATGAAGGGAAGGAACTTGGGGACATGGGCAACAGTGTGGTAATTAAGAGGGGGCAGGGAGTGGGTGGAGAGGGAAGAGGGTATAGGGGGATAAATGGTGATGGGAAAAAGTAAATAAAATAACAAATAAGCTACTACTAATGAGTACCACCAAACTATCCTCACTTGTGTACATAATCTACTGTTTTACATTTGTTCTGACACTTTGCAGAGGGGATGATCATAAGGCAAGAAACACCGTACAAGACTAACTATTGCAGCATTAGCATTAGAGAAACTCAGACATGGGTGGAAAACCGTTTGGAGGAGTGAAAGAACAAAGCCACTGAAATACTTAGCTTCAATAGTAAAGAAGCCTGACTGAAAACAGAGATCAAAAGCAGAGGGAAAGTTTTTTACTACGGATTCGGTAATGCCATGTCTGAATTTTGCAGGACATGCCAGAGTTTCAATAATTGATCTAGTTGTCCCCTTAGTACACTCAGTTGCTCAGAACTTGTGTCCTAAATTTGGGGTTGATGACATGCTGGTTGGCATGGGCCTGGGTTGGTAATGGCAAAACCAACCTCACATTCAGTAAAGTGACAGTGGGGACATTGTCGCAAAATATACAGTTTTCAGTTTGGTGAAATTGCTCATATCCAGGGAAAAATGTTTCCACATATTTCCTGAGGAGAGACAAGGATATTCATGAAGATTCTATGTCATACAAAAAAACACAGTATGAGCTCTGTGTGTGTCTGTGTGTGTTTTCAGAAAATTAGATCCACTGCTCACTTATTCCAAAAAAAATAAAAAGTCGGAATGTGGATCATGTGAGAGAATGAATATAACAACAGCATAAAAGGGAAAAAATAAGATTTTTTTAAAAATGGGCAAATATATATACATACTTTAGAAATGCCTTTGAATTGTTTTTATCTCTGTCTGTCCCTGTTTCTCTCCCTGGAACTAGGAAACAGGAGCAAACATTGAAAACCATCAGGAAAACACCAAGACTTTAAAAGAATTTGATAAATGAAAGTTGAGTTAAGAAGCATGGAATAACTCAAAGTATGTTGCAGCAGGTCTATCAATAATTAAAACCACACCCTTTAAGATAATTTCTGTTTTACTTTTGCTGACTCTAAAGAACAAATTTAATGTGTTTATTTTTCTTATGTTATTTCATCCTGCACTCAGAAACTTGAGCAAAGAATGAAAACCAGATTTAGTTTTTCTCCAAAAAGAAAGCTTGTCTCTAAGAGAGAAATTGTACTACAGGAAAAGGCATAAGCAACAGCAGTGCACATCCATTCAGGCAATGAAAAAATATATTAAGAACATAGAAAGACCCAAAGCACACAACATATACACAAAATATGTGCTCTCCATCATGGGTACACACAAAGTAGTAAGATGTATGACCAAAGAAGTGTCCAGAGGTCCCAATGAAAGTGATAGTGCATGGTAATATGATTCAAAACACTTTGAGAAAATTGTGATATTGAATATAAGGCTCTATTGGAAAAAAAGTGTACTTCTGTGACTGTGTTTGGGAATCTGCTTTATCTGTCTTCCTTTACCAAAACTGGTGATATCTTGTTAAGAAATAATAAAGAGTGACCAGAAAACACAGCTTTACTCAGTGCACTGGAGGGCAATGATGTTGAAACACAGAATGGTGGTGTCAGTCACCCTGATTCTATGCCAGCTATGAAAAATTGGGCCTCACAAGGGTGACGAGCACGTTCGTCAGTCTTAATTGTCAACTGTAGTAATCAATAACTTTTATTTACTTATCTGTCATTTTTGTCCTGACCTGCCAAGTATTCATATATAACTGAGCTTTCATAATGTTAATTAAAGATTTTATTGTTATTCTATTACAGCTGTCCCAATTTTTCCCCTTTGCCCCCTCCACCCAGCAACCCCCACTCCCACAGTCAATCCCCACACCATTTTCCATGTTTATGGGTCACTCATACATGTTCCTTGTCACAATTTTTAAAGAAAATTTTAGTTGTCTTTCTCTTTAGTTTTTCTCTCCATCGTATGAAAAATTCTGCCTATACTCTATCTATACATCATGGCTCCTGGATCAACTTTCTCAAATGCCATATTTAGCTTCCTTTTGTTTCCAAAGGCAGTTTCTGTTCTCAGTACTGTTCACTGGCACACCACTTGTTGGCTCAAGATAAGGAATTTTTAAAGAGTCCAGAGAGGAAATGTCAAAGTGGCCAGAGTTTGAAACCACAATAATGCTGCTTCATCATCTTACTTTATCTAGTGATATCACTTCCAGGCCTGTGACCCTTGGTATTTAATGCTCTGTATCAGTGGGGATTCGCTGCCCTTTTGTGCTTTGCTCCATGGTGCTCTTTCGGGCGGCTTGGATAATTAAACTCCTTTCTGCCTTTTACTTCTAGATCCCTAGTAATTTATTTATGTATTGTGAAGCTGCATAAAATGTCTCAGAGTGAATTTGCAAGAAGCCAGGAGGCACTCTTAGTGTTCCTCAGGCTTAAAAGTTGGTTTTTAAGGTGCACTTGGAGAGGCATCATTATTTGTCTTCATCAGTCAATGAACACATTGTCAGAATCTCTGTACTGCACTGAGATTCACAGCCCTTGCAGTGGAAGACAAACAGAACAAGGTGGTTTAGGACTACTGTGTCGAGAATATACCGATGCTGGTGAGGCCAGGCAGAGTAGAGCCAAGAGGCCCAGAGCAGGGTGAAAGTCAATGGAGTCACTTGCCCATATGCAGGCAGCTCTCTCTTTGTTAGTGCAGGCCCCACCCACCCCAGCCATGCTCTTGCCCTCACCAGGTGGGCTCCACTCTGCTCAGCTTCAGCACCTTGGCCCAGAACAATACTGAAAGCAGCTGGGTCCTGGGCTTCTGGAGTGATTGGGCAGCCCCTTTCACTTCTCCTGAAGAACAGCCCTTTGGTGAGCCCCCTGATCCTCTACGATATTGCTCATACACCATGAGTGGCTGCCGATCTGAGCCACATTCAAACCAGAGTGACTGTGAAAGGCTATCTGAGACATGAGCGGCTAGCTGCCAGACTGCCTGAAAGGTTATAATTTAGTGGGTATCCTTACAAAACCAGGCAGGACACGGAATGACCTGCTCAACAGCAATGCCATAATTGTGGCCACCTTGACTGCTGCCTGAGCCCAGCATCGCCCCGAGGCCATGACCGGCATCATTTCAAATTCTGTTAATTCCACCATCCTGATCACAGCTGAAGTTTTCAAGAAACACGGCGTCTATGACCCCAGTAAGATCTCTGGGGTGACAACCCTGGACGTTGTCAGCATCTACACTTTTGTCACAGAACTGAAGGGTTTGGATGCAGCTGGAGTCAATGTTTCTGTCACTGGCAGCTGTGTTGGGAAGATTATCATTCCCCTGATTTCTCGGTGCACTCCGAAGGTGGACTTTTCTCAGAACCCGATGACAACCCTGCCTGGGAAAACCCAGGAGGCCAGCATGGAGGTGGAGGTCAAGGCTAAAGCTGGAGAAGGCTCTGCCACGCTGTCCATGGCATATGACAGAGCCCAGTTTGCCTTGTCCCTTGTGCAAGCAATCAACAGAAAGGAAGGAGTTGCCGAGTATTCCTTTAAGTCCCAAGAAACTGACTGTTCCTCTTTCTCCACACTGTTGCTGGTGGGGGAAAGGGGCACCGGGAAGGATGTAGGCATTGGCAAATTGCCCCTTCCAAACAGAAGATGATCACTGAGGCCACTTAAGAGCTGAAAGCCTCAATCAAGAAAGAAGACTATAAAAAGAATATGAAATGAGAAAACAGTTTCTGAGCAATCCTTTTCCTTAACTTATGAACACTTCATGTCACTATCAAGTCACTTCAGATGTCTTTGTATTTCAGTTTGCTTTGATGATGAGCGTTGTATTCACATCACCATCTCTTCCAAATCATAGGTCAGGGTGCTAGTGCCTCAATAAAAACAGGCTTCAATATTGTTTAGAAAAAGAGAATATGCTGAGACCAGTTAAGGTAGACAATGCTGATTAATCATTTGCTAATAGGACCAAAACCAGTGACAACTTGAGCCTGCTGGTAAGTGAACATGAAAGAAACACCATTGTCTTGGTCACCATGCAATGTGCTGAAGGATAAGGAAGAAACTGGGAATTTAAAAAAATCTCTCTGCAGCTGCTTTGAGACAGCCACTTGCAGTAGAGGTGAGTCCTGAGAGGCCTGAGAAGATGTAGATGCAATGCTTCCTGAACTGTAACTTCTACATGAATCACTACGGATCCATTCAATAAACATTCTGGTTCAATAGGTCTGGACGAGAGAGGCCAGTGATCTGCATTTCTAGTGAACTCTCGGGTCAGTCCAGTGCTGTTGGCATGCGTCTTTGGACCACAGTCTGTGGAACAAGAATTGAGAGCACTAGGGATGGAATCTACTGAATTAGCAGATGGGGAGAGGAGGGAGGGAGGGAACTCACAGAGAATAGGGGATAAATATGGTTCTGGTGAGGCAAGCAGGACCTGGAAGGCTTTACTCTTCATTGTGCTGTACCCCTTCCTCATGAGTTCTCAAGTGCTGAGAAAGTTTAGCGATCCAAACTGTAGAGTAAACTATTGATGTTTTTCCTGAAAATTGGTGAAGGGGCTGACATTTGTATCTAAGGTGTTCAGGGGCAGAATTGAGCATTTGACTTGTGGAACCACATAAAGCGAAAAACAGAAGAAGCAAGGGTTTGGGAAGGGATTTTAGACTCTGAAGAATTGTGAAATTAGATTCAAATGAAGTTTACCTTAACCTCCCAGGTAAGGTAAACCTCGTCCCCATCTAAGGACGAGAAGACCCTAGATGACATCTGGATTATAATGATATAATGACTATAGTTAGTGCTCACCACATGCCAGACATTACTCATCATACACATTACCTCATTAATGTTCACAACGTGAAGATGTAAGTACCACCCCATTTTATAAAGGAAGGAATGGAGGTGAATGGCATGCCCAGATCCACACAGTCAGTAGGTTCCGGAGTGAGTATCTTAACCTTGGTCTGGCCGAATCAAAACCAGTTCCTATTCTCGTTCACCAAAGAGCACTTAGCACCAAAACTTTCTCAAGTAATAAACCAGGCAAAACCAAGTATAACTTCTTTCAAGATCTTCATGATGATTTTCTGTCAGTCTCCTAAGATTTTCAAGTTCTCTAGATTGACTTGTACAAAGGACATTTTAACTTGTGAGCAGATATAATCTCTATTTTGTCCACATTCATAGAATTATTGTAATCTCCATGGGAGAGGCAGGGGATGAGAAACAGTAGGTTATAGAAACGTTGAAAAAAAGACTCAGGGAATGGCAAAAAGCACTGGTCTTCATATCATTCTGATAGTTCTGCCTATATTTGTTTGGATGTGAATTAGCTGACATTTGAATTGAGACAGACTGCTGACAAATCATGCAGCGCTACTAACTCACTTTACAGACAAATTTTAAAAGGTGAAATATAGAGGTGAGAGCTACACTGAAATACAATTCCTAAGAGGATCATTTTTCCACTAGCCCCAGTTCCCTAGCATTGCTGACATTTAAGACCTCCTTTTGGAAATTCCAGAGAGACATTGCTTAACTGCACTCTGCTACTTAGAAGTGTGAGTGTAAATTGCTCCATGGACCCTTTCTACTTAATCCTTTTTTAATTTCAGCCTTTCCTTCAATTAACTTTGAAGCCATCACTATACTTGAGATGTATACATTTGGGGTTCACTTCTTTTCTTATTAATAATGTGAATCCTTCAGGCCACAAAGGAGAGGAGAGACCCGCACTTTCCAATGGAAGAGAACCGTCTTGTACCACAGATATAGTCTCTATGAGGAGAGCTCTTGGGAAGGGCTTCCCGCCACGACTTTGAGACTGTGTATATTACAAAAATGAACACATGGGAGAGAATACAACAGTGCCAGTCATCATGGATGAAACTGTTTTTGAGATGAGAAACCGACGCTGTTGCTGTCTAATTTGGGAAGAGGCCGTGTTCTAGGCAGGCATTTCTTTGAATTTTTCTACCTAGTCACAGATATTTTCATTAAAATATCCAAGGATTAAAAATCTCATTGAATACTCACCAAGGATTGCGCAAAGATGGCTGTAGGGTAAAATCTAAAGTCACATAGGAGGCTTAGCTAGTGAACTCCGAAGAGAGCAATGGAAAGGGTGAACGACTGCCCACCATAATTCCTAATGATGATGATTCCATCTCTGCTCTAACTTCCCTTGGCTTGTGATGAAGTCAATAGCTAAGTGATAGTTGAACACTAATCCATCCCCCTCATGCTTCACCAAGCATAAGCTAAACCTGCTCATCCCACCAAGGTACTCAGCTATTTGGGGTAACCATTTCTCAGGCTTCCAGTGGTCCATTTCAATTCAGTCCCCAAACATGGTGCACACCAAGAGAGAAGGAGAAGTGATGTGTTAGGCTGATGGTGGCCAAGCATTATCGTAATGCTACCAGGATGATAATATGTTGGCAGGTGAGGACCTGCTTCAGAGTAACCAAAAACTTCAATTTATTGTTGTAGTAACAAGGAGACAAAAAGTTTTAAAATGCAGTCATAAGGTGCTTGAAGTGCTTCTACCTGGTCATTTCTCCACAAAGTTGTGACTACAACAAATAAAATACAAATATGAAGGATGATCTGTGCTGATAAATGCCTGTTACTAAGGAAAGAGAAGCTTGAAAACATGGAGAAAGCATTTAGATTTAGTCCCACTGGAAATATTCTAAATGTCCCTGTATTCCTACCTTCTGGGCATCCAATTCACAGTTCTTTCATTACAATAAACACATTTATTTAAAACTAATCACCCTTCAACTCCAGTGGCCTCTTGTGTTTTCACTTCCAGGATTTCTTTTCTTTTCTTTTCTTTTTTTTTGTGGATGAGTAGATTATTATGGTCATAGCTACTACTACAAAACAATTAACTTGAAATCATAACATCAACACATAATGTGAGGGTGCTGTTACTGACTTGGATCAAACTGATTCAACAATATACATTTTCAGTTGGAAAAGACATTAGAAGGCAATGAAATTCAGTTTTCTGAAGGTGGAGTTTATGTTCTTATTTTTTTAACAAAAGAATAGCAATTATTAGTCACAGTATTTGTGATAACTGTAAGCCAAGAACAATGCAACAAGAAATCTCAATAATTCAATACAGAACATACTATGACCTGGAACTCTCTTGGTCATGATTGATTATCACAAATAGCACATAAGTCTCATGATATAATGGTTTCATTTCCATCAGAATCCTAGCATGGACCTCAAGAACAGAATATAGTATAGACAGTAAACCACTGACGTATTCTTTGTTTCTAGTTGCTAATGTATTTTGCCCATATTACCTGTTACATGGGAAAAAAGTTGGTGGATATTTCTAACTTTTTAATGATTGGTTCATCGTTTTCCCATCCATTCCATTTCTTCCTTTCTGAGAGCAAACAGGTCTAACCAGTGCATGCCTGGATGTGATCCCAGGTCTGAAAGTCTGCAGTGTAGGAAGACCTTCGTAGGATCTGGGAAGAGGAACATGACTCAAAGAGCAGAGCAACATGGCTTGTCCCTGATGGTTGGAGCCGACTCCATTCTGAAGGTGACCTGGATTCAGAGTAACTGGAGGCCACCTCCCCACTGCCTGCCTAAAGGAGTAGAAGGGGCTCCTGTGACAACAACAAGACTGGTGACTTGAACCATGTATGAGATTTGCTGGGCTCATTCCTGAAAACAGTGGATTATTCCTGCTTAGTCCCTAATGGATTAAGTCCCCTCTGGTTTATCCCCCAAAACCACAAACTTTAGTATAGTAGGTGGACATTTCAACTGTTAAGCATATGTAGGGAGGGCGCCCTTGCTGACAGACGGTGAACAGACAACATGACATTTACTCCTCTTTATTTTCTTAGGAGATGTTCAAAGTCTGGAACATGCTCCCCCTCCCCCATCTCCCCTACACCCTCTACCTCCCACCAGGACACATTTCTACTTCTCTGATGAACATCCCAATTTCTGCATCCAATCTCACCCCTCACATTGCTGCCCCATTTTTTCTGGCCTGACTTATTCAAGCGCAGGGCTGATCTCTTCCTTTACTTCAGGGTCTATAGAATGGCTCCTTCCTGTCTTTCCCTGGCTGCACAACTCAGAGAGTCACACATCAGAGTCTGTGATTCCAATTTTCAAGAAGCTCTTTCTTTTAAGAATTTATTTATTTATTTTTAGAGAGGGTAAGGGAGGGAGATAGAGAGGGAGAGAAACATCAGTGTGTGGTTTCCCCTGGAGCGCTCCCCCACTGGGGACCTGACTCACAACCCAAGCATGTGCTTGGGAATCCAACTAGTGACCCTTTGGTTCACAGGCTGGCACTCAATCCACTGAGCAGCCACACCAGCCGGGGCAGTGCAAGAGGAGAAAGTTAAGGCCTTACACTGCAAGAGGAGAAAGTTAAGGCTTTTAGACTTTGCCCCCATTGAAGTCCAGGGCTAAGGGTAACTATTGTGACATGGTGTCCTGGGTTAAGGTCATGTGAAAGAGGGGGCCTCTGGCCTTTGTGTGACACTATAGTGCAGGGCCAACAAAGTCACTGCTTCTAAGAGATCTCCAGCAAACTCTCTTGAGCCAAAGACTCTTTTTCATATACTTCTCAAATTTCACTCATTTCTTATTTCCCTCATTTCACTCATACTTCACTTATTTCTCAGATAAGGTTCTATGTCAATCCTTGTTTCTACCTTTCTCCTGCACACACAGATGCATACATTAGTTGTCATCTCTAATTCCACTTCCTGCCCGGTAATTTTTGTGTAGGTTTCATTCCATGTTTACTAATTGCTGAAATCCCCCACTCTACTTTGTCCATCCTTAGGGTAAATGCAGATCCACCATCTCTCATCTGAATCCTCTGGGGCTAATTGTACTAAGGAATTCAGACTTTTTCAGATTTTTGAAGGATACTATGGTGCACATTCTGTGAACTAGACAATACCCAACAGGGAATGTGGCTACATATCTATTCACACTAAGTGGGATAAATAAAAAATAGCCTCGGATCAGTTGGAAACTGGGTTTCCAACCAAATGATTTTCCAAGAAACTTATGAAAAATAAAACCCTTTGTCTTGAGAGCTTTTCGTTTTTTGAAAGTTAGGACTAAGGATGGTTGACCTGTATTATGTAGTACAAATTCTTCAAATGGTGAACAGAGGGATGGAGCATTTTAGGAGAATTGGCTTTTTGTTGTTCAAATGGCTTATTTTCCTGATTTTGGAGACAGTGCAGAGACAAGTTTGTAGGTAGTACAAGGAAGAATGGAGGCACTTCAGTAAGCAGTTGAGAACAAGCCAGAAAAATGAAGCAAAGGGAGGGTGGGGGTGGCACGGGTGGGGGTGGAGGAGGAAGAAAGCCCAATTTAGAAGGGATAAAGATAAAGAAAAAACAGCTGACTAGAAATGGAACTTATTAAAGGGCAGGTAATAGAACTTGAGGAAAAAACACTTCTTTATAACTTCAAGGGCATGGTCAAGAAATTTTCTTAAATGTTATTTTCAAAAGAACATTACAATCCCATGAACATAAAACCAGGTAACAGAAAACTGTCACAAGCCTGGCCATCCCTATCAATCATCCTGGTTTTTAGTTTTTTAGTGTTCCATTAGGAACCATTTTCAAGGAGAAGCACTTAGGCTTCTTCCTCCTTGGGAGGTTGGGAGGCCAAGAAACCTGTTAGACGTTAGAGGTCAAGGAGCTCAGAGGGCTCTACGTATTCTTTATTAATGGCAATAAACACTGTAATTGAGGGGAAAGTAACCAGTTCTCTAATTTCCAAATATAAGAAAACTATCGTTTTAATTTCACATTGGGTTGGTTCTTCTTCTCAAGTCATTTGACACTAATGGAATGTTTCTTACATTCAAAATGCTGCCTGGGGCCCTGGCCAGGTGCCTGGGTTGGTTGGAACATGACCCCGTACACCAAAAGGTTGTGGGTTCAACTCCCAGCCGGGGCACATACATAGGTTGCCAGTTTAATCCCTGGTTGGGGCAGTCCAGGAGGCCCGGATCTGTTTCTCTCTCACATGGATGACTCTCTCTGTCTCTGTCTCTGTCTCTGTCTCTCTCTCTCTCAACCTCTCTCCTTTCCTTTCTCTCTAAAATCAATAAACATATCCTCTGGTGAGGATTTTTTTTAAAAATGTTGTTTGGGTCAAAATGTAGTTAGCCCCAAGGAAAGATATGGTTAGAAGAAAGGAAATGGTTATTAACAAATCTATGAAATCCTGAAGTGCCAAGGACCGTGCTTTCATTCAAAGAGAGGAGGCATTTCTTCCATTCTTCTGATCTTAACCACTATTTTGAGTTTCTCATCAAATTTTCCAGGTGACCCACCCATCACAAGCTGACCTAGTTAGTTACAAAACTGCAAATTCAATTTCAAGGGGTGTTTATTTCTCAGGTATAGATTTTAAAAAATAGAGCGCCTCCTTAAGAACAGGAGCAAGGTCATATCTGGTTGAATCCTTAGCCCCGAGAGTACGATATAGTATAGGTGTCCAATACATATGTGTAGATTGATTACTTAAAGATATGCCACTTTTCCTATGTCAGGCCCTGGGCAAGGTCTCACGGGCACAGGAACAGGTTAACGCCCCCAGAGGAATTCAGATCCAACTTGGCATAAGGTCAAGCAAAAGAAGAACGGTTTTAGTCAACACCCAATCAAAGAAGAGAGCAGTGGGGAAGCAAGTAAGGCTTACTTCACGTTTTGCAGGAGCTTTCAATACCATTTCCGCGCCTGCATTCCCAGAGATATCGCCTTTCACAGGGGGCGTGAAAGGAGGCGAATCCAGAGAATAGAAGCAGTTTCAGAGGGAAAGTTAGGAAACAGTGAAAACTGAGGGTCCGAGACTGGGTCCCTCCTGGGTTTGAAAAGAGGGGACGAAATACCTGTTGTCACATCTCTTTTCCTTTCTCCAAATCCCCCAGCATAAGAAACTAACGGGGCGGTAGTACTGGGCGGAAGGTGTTACATCACTTCTTACTCCAATGGCTACAGCCTTGGAAACCTAGGAGTCCACAGCTGACGCCTTCCAGACAAGGACCCACTCCAGCTTGCTAAGAAAAGGAAACCCACGTGATGGCTGGGCGTGGGGATGGGAAGCCAGGGGACCTCGGAGTCCCGCTACCAGGGGCGGGGTCCGGGACCCGGCAGTTTCGAGGAATTGCCCGGTGCAGCCGGTGCAGCCGGTCGGGGCGAGGGGCTTGCACTATGTTTCCCCGCGCAGGCGGAGCCCGGGGAAGAGGACTCGCTCCGAGCGCGCCGCTGCCGAGGGGCAGAGAGTAGCAACCCCGGGGGCGCACACTGGACAGGGGTGGGGTGCGGCGGGGCCGGGCGAGGCGGGAGCAAGCCTAGCGCACTTTGAGTCCAGAGCTGAAGCTGGACACCGCCTAGGCGCGGACCGCCGCCCCGCCCCACTGGGCCCAGCCTCCGGCTGCCCGGGGAGGGGGAGGGGCGGAGCGAGCGGGGCAGCGCTGGGGCGGAGCGGGGGCGGAGCGGGTGCCGGCAAGGGTGCAGGCGGCCCGGCATCAGCGGCGAAGGTCCCTGGTGGGATCGGCGTCGCTGCGGATACCAACGAGGTAGCCCGGGCCGGCCACCTCCGCAGACCAGTTTTGCGGAGGCGGGGGACGAGGAGATCGGAGGGAGTGAGCCAAGCGTGCGGCAGTGGCTGCTTCCCTTCGAGGGAGGTCGGGCTCCCAGCTCTCCCGACCTGCCTGGCGTTCTCGCCTCCCTGCGGCGCCCTGGGCATGGCTTCGGCGGGCAGCGGCATGGAGGAGGTCCATGTGTTGGTGCTGACCCCGCTGAAGCTGGTCGGGCTGGTGTGCATCTTCCTGGCGCTGTGTCTGGACCTGGGTGCCGTGCTGAGCCCGGCTTGGGTCACGGCCGACCACCTGTACTACCTGTCCCTGTGGGAGTCCTGCCGGAAACCCGCCAGCTGGGACATCTGGCACTGGGAGTCCACGCTCAGCAGCGGTGAGGGCCCGGCGCGCCGCGACCCCTGCCTCCTGCCCGGGACTGCTCCGCGTCCCACTGCCAGGACCGCCACTACCTCTCCCCTGCACCTTCTGTGTCCCCTACCCTTGTCTGCCGGATCCTCGGTCCCCAGCCACCTCCCTGATGCCCACCCCTCCGCTTTCCCCGGTTCTAGTCCCCAACCAAACCCAAGGTGACCTCCCGCGCCCTCTCTTCCTCCCCCTCCTCCTGTGGCCTTTCCTCGGGCTCTAGAGTAACACGGATGCTCTTCCTGGGTAATTGTTATCATTTAAGGTGAGGACCATGTGGCTGTGTTAAAAATGCAACGGCTTCCCCATCCCCTTTAGAAGAGAAAGCAAAAACTCCCCAACTCCTGCAAAATGCCAGGGACTCTTCTCTGGGTCTTCCGCGCCCTCTTCTCCCTCATTTCTCCGCGGGAATCCGCTCGAGTTTACCTCTTAGTGCCCGCGTGCCTTACACTTTACCTGGCTTCCCCCACATTTTCTAACATTTTTGAGAGATATGGAGAGTTGGGAGAACGACAGGCGTCATTTCCTTTTCCTTTTTTTTTTTTTTTTTTTTTGGTGACACAGTCGTTGCTTGTGTGTGAGTTGTCTTTCTCTCCCAGCCCAAGTACCTTCTCTGCCCTTCAGACCTTTCTTTCTCTTCAGGAACTACTCACAGAAGCCTGGAACCTCGTACCTTTTTCAGCCAGCACTGAAAGTTGCAAATGGGTAGGGCGGGGGTGGGGAAGAAGGTAGTAGTCACTGGGGCTACCATACTGCCTTCCTCTCTCTCCTTGACCCCCATTTGCCTTCCCCTGTGCCCCAGTTGTTCCCGTAGCAGAAATGCCAACTTCCCATTTCCTGCTGCAACCCCTTTCCCTTGCTAATATTGATTCTTTAGCTGCTGTCAATACAGAGAAGGGAATAAAGGGAGAGGAGCTGCCCGAGATTATACACACACACGCCCCTGAGAAACTCATTAAATTCCTTCGGGCAGTTTCATGGCCTTGGGACTATTTATAAAGCTTTACTGGAAATGTTTCCAGTTCCAGGAAAGTTGAAATAGCGCAAAATTCACAAGTATCTGATTGACTTTTTTGTCTTTGGTTTCTTGGTATAAGAGAGGTTAGTTCAGTTGCTTGAGTTGCTGCCATAAATTTGATTTTTCTGTTTACAAAGGCTTTTTTTTTGATATTTCCTCAAAATTCCCATTGAAGGGTTTTGGCTTTGTTGCTTAATTTACTGTGGCGGGGACTGGTTGGCAGCAGGAAGTCAACATTTAGGTCTTTTAATTCTTTAAGGGTTGGTTGTTTACAACTAAAGATGAAATAAATTCAGTAAAATGCGTTTCTTCAGTAACCAGGGGATCCTAATAAACTTTGGGGAAAATATCTTTTCTTTCCCCTGTCCAATAGAAATGGAAATTTATGTAGGAATGCCAGCTTCAGCCTGTCTCCTTAGCAACGTGAGTCTTTTGCCTCTTTCCCACTGTGTCCTGAAATAATAGCCCCTGATTGTGTGAAGACTTTCCAGCTAGGTTAGAGAAACCAGCCCCAACTCCCATTTTCTTTTCAGGCCTGGATCCTGTTCTCTTGGCCAGGAATGTGGGGTATGGGGATAAGCCAGCTTGGGTTTGTTGAGCAGTTTGCAGTGCTTGCTAATCTCTCCTTAATTGCCTCCATACCCATTTATGTCAGCTTTCCCCCCATCTTCTCTAGGCCAGGAAGTAGGGAGACACCAGCTTAATGCAAAAGTGATGATAATGGGACTGGGCAAGGTACAAATCTGAGGCAGGCACGACTTCTGATGTTTTCTCTCAACCAGTTATTCTGCCGTCTTGCTGAAACTCGTACCCCAGCATTGACTTCTGTTTGGGTTCTTGAAAATCAGCTCTAGTTTCCTTTTGCTTCCAAAATAGTTTTTTTTAATTTATTTTTTATTGATTATGCCATTACATTTGCTCTATTCCCCCCTCCCTTCCCCTCCACCCTGCATACCCCTCCCCCACCATTTCCCCCTTTAGTTCATGAACATGTGTCTCAAATTCTTTAGATTCTGTATTTCCCCTACTATTCTTACCCTCCCCCTATCTATTTTCTATCTACTGTCTATACTACTTATTTTCTGTACCTTCTCCCCCCTTCCCCTCCTCCCACTCCCCTGTTGCTAACCCTCCCTGTGATCTTCATTTCTATGGTTCTGCTCCTGATCTAGCTATCCTCTTAGTTTGCTTTTGTTTTAGGTATGGTTCTTAATAACTGTGAGTTTGCTGTCCTTTCACTGTTCATCTTTTTTATCTTCTTTTTCTTAGGTAAGTCCCTTTAACATTTCATATAGTAAGGGCTTGGTGATGATGAACTCCTTGAATTTGACCTTATCTGAGAAGCACTTTATCTGTCCTTCCATTCTAAATGAAAGTTTTGCTGGGTAGAGCAATCTTGGTTGTAGATCTTTGGTTTTCATGACTTGGAATACCTCTGTCCAGCCCCTTCTTGCCTGTAAGGTCTCTTTTGAGAAATCAGCTGACAGTCTGATGGGAACTCCTTTGTAGGTGACTGTCCCCTTAGCTCTTGCTGCTTCTAGGATTCTCTCCTTCATTTTAATCTTGGCTAATGTAATTATGATGTGCCTTGGTGTGTTCCTTCCCGGGTCCAACTTCCTCGGGACTCTCCGAGCTTCCTGGATCTCTCAGAAGTCTATTTCCTTTGCCATCTTGGGGAAATTCTCCTTTATTATTTGTTCAAATAATTTTTCATCTGGTGGTTGTGCCTTTCCCCCTTCTGGTATCCCTATAATTCGGATGTTGGAACGTTTAAAGATGTCCTGGAGGTTCCCAAGCCTCTCCTCATTTTTCTGAATTCTTATTTCTTCATTCCTTTCTGCTTGATCATCTTTTTCTTCTGTCTGGTCCTCTCCCTTGATTTGAGTCCCAATTTTCTTTCCATCACTATTGGTATCTTTTGTATCAGCATTCATTTCAATTAATTTAGCTTCCATATGTTTCTCTAATTTGTGACTAAAATCCACCAGTTCTGTAAGGATCTTTATAACCAGTGTTTTGAACTGTGCATCTGAAAGACTGACTATTTCTTCATCACTTAGGTCTATCGGTTCTGGGGCTCTGAGTTGTCCTAGAGCCATTTTTGGTCTATTCGTGCTGTTAAGTGAGCGGAGCGAAGCCTTAGTTGTTTACCAGGACGGGGCGACCCAGGTCGCTGGTTTGTGACACTGTGTGTGGGGGCGGGGTCAGAGAGGGAGCAATGGCGTTCCTCTCCGCTAGCCCAGCGCATCCAGTCACTCAAACGCCTCGGGCTTGCTTATCCGATCCTAATTTTGTGAGCCTGCTGCACCGCGCGGTTTTCCCTTCTCACTGGTTTCTCCGCACGTAAATGCGCGCGACTGAGCGACCCACCGCGCCTATTCCCTGTGTGCTCCGGCAGCCAGCTCGCTGGCGATCAGCCCTCGGTTGCCTGCGCGCCCCGCGCACCGCCCTGGGAATTTTTTCTTGCTAACCTACTCTGCTTCTGGCCTTGCTCCTCGTACCGGTCCAGCCGAGTATCTAGTTGTCCTTTGGACTCCGTATTGTCGATTTTCCGTGTGGCTTGGTTGTGACTGCTGTTAAAAATAGTTGTTCTTAGATTTGGTTGTGCACAGAGGCGAGGTGGACCCTCCACCTACTTCTCCATCTTGGCGGAAGTCTCCCAAAATAGTTTATATGCTAGAAAAAGTATACTTCATAAGCAAATTGGGATAGGGTGGGGAGTAGAGATGGTATTTTTGAGGGTATTTGGGACAAGTTGTTGGCTTTCTTAATTTAGCAGTAGTTCACTCCTGCCTCCCCAGGGTGTTGGAAAGGGAATGCTATGGGAAATTGCTAACGCTCCTCTCTTTGCAAAATCAGTTTGCTTCAAAGGTTCTGTGGACTTGAAGCTTCTATCCACCAGTGTTTTGAAACGAAGGGGTCAGCTTGAATTGAAAACGAGTGGTGCTTTTCTAGCCTGTTCAAAGGGCCAGCAGCTTTTCTCAGTCTGTTTGCTGTGTAGTAGCAGAAAGCAGGGAAAGAAACGTATTCTTGAAGATTTTAAGAGATCCACTTTGTTGTTTCTCAAAACAAATTCTCTCTGGAAGAACCAGCAAGGGTAGTTTTACAGCAGGCCATTCACCAGGATTTTCAGGGCTTCATTAAAAACCTTTGTCTTAATTAGAATTAAACTGCCCAGAAGAGGCCAGCTTGTATTTAGAGAAGGGAAATTTCAGGAATGTTTCTACTGACCTGGACGACAATCTGTCCTACTTAGGCCCACTTCCTACAGCAACTTTCCCCATAGCCATTATTTTTAAAGCTGCATTTTAATGTTGGTAGCACTGTTGGTAGCATCGTGCGCTGCTTATAACCTGCTTTATGCTTCTAAGCCAAAGCAGAACTGTGCCTTTTGTGTCCTGGTGCATTGAAGGTTGCGTCAGCACTTCTAGTAGGAACCAGAAATCCTGGGGTCAGTCAGTCGTAATGCTTTTCTCCCATGTCCCAATTCAGTGTATGCAGGGGGCGGTCAGTCCAGGCGTTTATCTTAAAATGTTAGTTTTCCAAAAGAGACAAATGAGAAAATGACTATTTGACTGCTATTTGCAGTGGAAAGAAACAAACAAAAAATAAGAGTATGCTTGTTAGGAAGTTTAGAAGCCATAGTACTTCCATGGCTGCTGGCCATAGAATTTCTACGGGTAGTTTTCCCTACTACTGACTTTGCTTTTCATAAATACTTTTTTAAATGTATTTTTTAATTGATTATGCTGTTACAGTTGTTCTATTCCCCCCTTCATTCTCCTCCACCCTACACCCCCGTCCCCACCACTACCCCCCCTTTAGTTTATGACCATGTGTCTCAAGTTCTTTAGATTCTATATTTCCCATACTATTCTTGCCCCCCATCTATTTTCTATCTACTGTCTATGCTACTTATTTTCTGTACCTTCTCCCCCCTTCTCCTCCTCCCACTCCCCTGTTGCTAACCCTCCCTGAGATCTTCATTTCTATGTTTCCACTCCTGATCTAGCTGTCCTTTTAGTTTGCTTTTGTTTTAGGTGTCGTTGTTAATAACTGTGAGTTTGCTGTCCTTTCACTGTTCATATTTTTTTAACTTCTTTTTCTTAGATAAATCCCTTTAACATTTCATATAATAAGGGCTTGGTGATGATGAACTCCTTGAATTTGATCTTATCTGAGAAGCACTTTATCTGTCCTTCCATTCTAAATGAAAGTTTTGCTGGATAGAGCAATCTTGGTTGTAGGTCTTTGGATTTCATGACTTGGAATACCTCTTTCCACCTCTTCTTGCCTGTAAGGTCTCTTTTGAGAAATCAGCTGACAGTCTGATGGGGACTCCTTTGTAGGTGACTGTCCCCTTAGCTCTTGCTGCTTCTAGGATTCTCTTCTCCATTTTAATTTTGGCTAATGTAATGATGATGTGCCTTGGTGTGTTCCTTCTTGGGTCCAACTTCTTTGGGACTCTCTGAGCTTCCTGGATTTCCTGGAAGTCTATTTCCCTTTGCCAGCTTGGGGGAAATTCTCCTTTATTATTTGTTCAAATAAGTTTTCCACTGGTGGCTGTGCCTTTCCCCCTTCTGGTACCCCTATAATTTGGATGTTGGAGCGTTTAAAGATGTCCTGGAGGTTCCTAAGACTCTCCTCATTTTTTTGAATTCTTGCTTCTTGACTCTTTTCTGTTTGGCCATTATTTGCTTTCTTCTGGTCCACTCCATTGATTTGAGTCCTAGTTTCCTTTTCATTGCTATTGGTTTCCTGTGCAATTCCATTCATTTCAATTAGTTTCGCCTTCATATGTTTCTCTAATTTGTGGCTATAATCAACCAGTTCTGTGAGGATCCTGATCACCAGTGTTTTAAACTGTGCATTTGAGAGTTTTGCTATTTCTTCATCACTTAGATTTACAGGCTCTGGGGCTTTGAGATCTTCTTGAGCCATTTTTGGTCTGTTTGCGCCCGTTAACTCTGAGGAGTGGAGCCTTGGACTCCCAGGTCCCTGGGTTGTGACTCTGTATGTGGAGGCGGGGTCAGAGCGGGGAAATGGCGGCCCCCTCTACAGTTTCTTGCAGCTGGGTGAAGAGCAGAGCCTTAGGTTGTTCACCACGGGTGGGCCATTTAGGTCGCTGGATTATGATGCTGTTTGTGGAGGCGGGGTCAGAGCAGGGAAATGGTGGCGCCCTCTGCCGCCGCTTGCCACTGGGGCTGCTGGCTCTCATCCAATCTCCCACTCCCTCGCTTGTCTATCCACACAGGAATGCGCGACCACAGTCAACCTGCAACCCTGCTCCCTCACTGTTTCCCCGTGATTGCTTGCTGAGTTGCCCACCAGGTCCAACCCTGCGCCTGGATTCTGCGGGCCTGAGTCCGTCTGACCGAGTTTTCCTGTGCTATTCTGCTCTACCAGCTGCTGGTTTCGCCATTCTAACCGGTCAGGCTGAAGAATTTGTTGTTAACAGACTTCCGAAAAGTTCAATTTTCTGTGTTCTGGCTGTGTTTTCTGTTGCTATTATTTAGTTGTCTCTAAACTTGGTTGTGTGAGGAAGCATGGTATCTCCACCTATGCCTCCATCTTGGCGGAAGTTCATAAATACTTTTTAAAGCATATTTTATTTAATTATTGTTCAAGTACAGTTTTCTGTCTTTTACTCTCAACCCAGCCCACTCCCCCAGTGCTCCCCACATCTCTCCATTTCTACCCCCCTTAGTTGTTGTCCATGTGTCCTTCATACTAGTTCCTGTGAATCCTTCCTCTATTTCCCCTGAAATTCTCTTCCCTCTCCCCTCTGGTCCCTGTCAGCCTGTTCTGTATTTCAATGTCTTTGGTCATATTTTGCTTTCTTGTTTGTTTTGTTGTTTAGGTTCCTGTTAAAGGTGAGATCATGTGGTATTTGTCTTTCACTGCCTGGCTTATGTCACTCAGCATAATGCTTTCCAGTTCCATCCATGTTGTTGCAAAGGGTAGTAGCTACTTCTTTCTTTCTGCTGCATAAAATTTCATAAAATGGTATAAAAGTAGCCTCTTCAACAAATGGTGTTGGGAGAACTGGATAGCTACATGCAAAAAAATGAAACTTAAGCACTAACTTACACCATACACCAAAATAAATTTAAGGTGGATAAAAGACTTAAATATAAGCCGTGACACCATTAAAATCCTAGAGGAGAACATTGGCAAGAAAATCTCGATATTTCACGAAGCTACATTTTTACTGATATGTCCCCTAGAGCAAGGGACATAAAGGAAAGAATAAACAAATGGGATCTCATCAAAATAAAAAGCTTCTGCATGGCTAAAGAAAACAGTATTAAGATAAAAAGAGAACCAACTAAATGGGAAAACATATTTGCCAATGATACCTCAGACAAAGGTTTATTTCTCCAAAATATGCAAAGAACTCACACTACTCCACTCTAAGAAGATAAGCAACCCAATTAGAAAATAGGCAAAGGACTTGAACAGACAATTCTCCAAGAAGGACATACAGAGGATCCAGAGACACATGAAAAAATGTTCAATATTGCTAGCTATCAGAGAGATGCAAATTAAAACCACTTTATGCTGGTCAGAATGGCCATCATAAACAAAGCAACAAACAACAAATGTTGGAGAGGTTGTAGGGGAAAAGGGACCTCAGTTCACTGTTGGTGGGATTGCAGACTGGTACAACCATTATGGAAAACAGTATGGAATTTTCTCAGAAAACTGAAAATGAATATGCCTTTTGACCCAGCAATTCTACTGTTAGGAGTATATCCTAAGAACCCTGAAACACCAATCCAAAAAAACCCATGCACCTCAATGTTCATAGCAGCACAATTTACAATAGCCCAGTGCTGGAAGCAACCTAGGTGCCCATCAGTAAATGAATGGATCCAAAAATGATGGTACATTTACACAATGGAATTCATAAATCCTTTTAATTCATGTTCAGTCTTATTTTTTAAATGATAGTAATGTTTTAGACTTTTGCTTAGTGACATTTAGGTGTGATAACTTTTTTTTTTTAACTTTTTTAAAGAATATATTTGTTAGGGTTTCACAGCCATAGCAATTACAGGAGAACCCTTCATGCAAATAGGATTACTCAAGTGTTTACATTCTGCTGCCCTGAACTTAACATCAAATGTGCTGAGTAACCTCTGGGGTGATTTTACATTTATTCTGTAAGATTTGTAAATATGGAGCTATTTCATATAAAGCGGATTGCTTTTTTTAATGTTTGTGTGACTTATTGACTAACGAAAAGCAAGGACGTACAGATGGCCAAATGAAACAAATTTACTGAATAATTTTGCGTTGGGATGTAACAAGTGTGTTCATCCGTGTTTTCCATCCACAAAATACCTGATCAAGTAGTTAGTGCCTTTTCAAGGAATATTGTTAACATCATTCCTGAACTGTCCTAAAAATAGCTGCATTTGTAACATGAGTCACTGGCAGTTTTGAAATGGCAGTGTGCCGTATGCTAATAACAGGTGAATATTATTATTTTTAGTTGACAAGAGGTTCTTTGAAGAGTGATTTCTATGTAGCTCCTTTTTTAAGTGGTACTACAAAAATCCACTTTAAAAGGCATTATAAGAAAACCTTTCTTGGCTGGTAGTTTAAAATAAACTGAACTGCCTAAACACCTGAAAATCTTAGAAAATCTGAGACAAAGTAATTCTGAGTTCATCTGTGCATATTTTAAACCCATACCTGAATTGAGAAACGGCATTTCATTGGGAAAGTTCATAGCACAGTTTGCTCCAGGGAAGGTTCACCTCGTTGCTTAAAATGAGTTGATATTGATGCAAGTTTACAAATAGCTCAGCAAGCCTGAAAGTCATATCAGTTATACCCTCTTCTGGCTTCCTGTGAAGGGACGTAAGTAGAACAAATGCTGTGTGTGTTTCTCTTAACTTACACAGCTTAGATGGGTGGGAAAATTATACAAAGAGTAGCAATTAGCACCAAAACTTTCTCAATAAACCAGAGAAAACCAAGTATAACTTATTTCAAGATCTTCATGATGATTTTTTCACAGCTTCTAAGATTGTCAAGTTTCCTAAATTGACTTTTACAAAGGACATTTTAATTTGTGGGCAGATATGATTCCTCTTTAGCTCACATTTACAGAATGATTGTAATCTCCAGGGAGCTGTTTAGATCAATCCTTGTCAGCTAAGAGATTTGAAGGGTGTGTGAGAAACCCGGCCTTTTGTAAAACATTTCAAAACAAACATGTATGTCTTAAGCAACAGATTTTGCCTGCTGTCAGGAATACACTTTAGGAATTTCTTTCAAGTTTCTGTTTAATAGTAAAGCCACTTAGCAAGACCCTAGATACACATCTGGTGCTACTAGATATATTAGTGAAAAGGATTATCGTGCTTCAGAATAAATCCCTGGAATACATTACCTAAACACCGCAGTAAACTTCTGCGTGAACTACGCTAGATTATAACATAGTCCTCTAGGACGGTAGAGGAGCCTTGTGAATGCATGAGGCTTTGGATTCAAAATGCCCTGAAACTGGCCACTTATACCAGTCATGTGACCTCACACAAGTTAACTCTTCAGATGGTTTCTTATGAAGATTAAATATACAAAAGCGCATGCTCATTAAGGTTGTATCTCTTATTATATATTTGGAAAACAAGACCAAAGTGATTTTTTTCAATAATCGAGGACTCTTTCCCCCTTAAATGGCACACTTTCTTTGCATTGAACAATGAAGTACACTGTTAGTTTCAAATTCAACTTTTGATATGCGTTACCTAGCATTTAACAGTGCTCATGGCTTTGACAGATCATGAGTACAAATAAAAGCTACTTTTTATTCACCACTGATAAGGGCCAGGGCCAGACACGTTGAGTATTCCCAATGTCACAATAAACTTGCAAAGTAGCAAATGTTATCCCTACATACTTTTGAAGAGACCAGGGGTTTTTGTAAGTTTACTAGGTTCTCAATCAGTGGTAAAGACGGGATTTATCCAGGAGTTCTAGTTATTAATTCTGGGAAACAAACCACCACAAAGTTAGTAGTGTAAAATAACAATTATTTCATTGCGCTCATGTCTTCTGTGGGTCAGGAATTCAGAGAGGACATAAGGGCTTGTCTCTGCTCCAGGATGTGTGGGGCCATAGCCAGGGGTGACTTGAATGTCTAGCGACTGGAACGCCTGGAAGTACAGGATCCTCTTCCAAATGGTTTGACTGGGTTTGGCACCTGGGTGGGAATGGCTGGGAGACTGGATAAGCTGGGACTGGCCCTGCTAGCATGGTGGTCTCAGGGTGGTTGGATTTCTTACAGGATGAGTGGTTTTCTCCAGAGCCAGGGTCCTAAGAGAAACAGGCTGTGTCTGAACTAGCCTGGAAAATCACAGAGGAGTCGTATAGCCAGCCCGGATTCCAGAGGAGGACAGACAATTGGACTCCACCTCGTGATGGATCAGTGACACTGCCACATTGTAGATAAGCATGCACACTAGGAGACGCCTTTGGGCCACATTTATAGCATGCATTTTGACACTGGAATCTAGCTGCAAATCTGCTTTCTTACACTATTGCCTCCAAAGAACAAAGACAACTAACTCCATAGCTTCTTTCTTTAAGGACTTGGAATAGATTATATAAATAATGTTTGGCTAGGGCAAAAACTACCCTCAACGGACACAAGGCTTTAATGATTGGTCACTTATAAGCAGTTACTTTGGATTTGGAATAAAATGAACTAAAAAACCTAATCTGTCCACGAATAACTTTTTTCTCTCACCTTTGACTGGCAGACTCAAATGACTAAGGATGAAACTGATTAAGAATCTGGACTGTAATCTGCTGCTTCATATTGCTTGATAAAATTTTAGTATTTTTAAAAAGTTTTGGGAGCCTGATGAGATGCTTTGTACACAAATGCTAAAACATTAAAATTCCAGACAGGAGCCAAGTCTTGTAGCTCTAGAGAGAATTGGAGTTACAGAGTAGTTTTTTGTTCACTTAAAAAAGTACAATAATTCTTTACCTGATAACTGCCCATATAGTGAATTGCAGAATTATAGCACGTTTGGAACAGAAAAGATTTTAAAAATAGCCCTGCCTGCCCAATCTGATTTATTGCATGGATTAAGAAAACTGAGGCAAGGCACAAGGTTGGTAGATTGTATTTTGTCACAGTATTTTTGCAGGGTGAGTTTTCAAAAATTTCCTGTAATATTTCAGAAAATTACCTCTTAGTGTTTGAAGGATTGTTGAATACTGTCATATATGGAATTTTAGATGACGAGGTTAAGGCCTACACGTGAAATAGATGTCCACTTTTTAGAATGTTATCATCCAAAATTTGATTTCACATAGAATTGTGAGTCTTCAAATAGACTCATAAATCGATAAGCTAGTTAAGTTTTAGATATTTATAATCATCAAATTTACATTGTTACCATTGCTAGTCTTAGAAGTCAACAAAGATTTTTATATTTAGTTTTCTCTATGATAGAGTATTTTAACACAATTGCTTAATTATAAATTGAAAAATAATTCCAAAAGTACATGGGAGCCAGCCATGTAAGCTTCTTATTACATGGATTAAATGAATATAAATGTTATTAGGTCAACTTATTGTTGCATTCTGGCTTTATTTTTAAAAAGATATTTATTGATCCACTCATTTACTGATGGGCACTTAGGTTGCTTCCAGCACTTGGGTATTGTAAATAACAGTGCTATAAACATTGGGATGCATAGGTTCTTTTGAATTGGTATTTCAGGATTCTTAGGGTATAATCCCAGCAGTGGAATTGCTGGGTCAAAACACAGTTCCATTTTTAGTTTTCTGAGGAAATTCCATACTGCTTTCCAAAGTGTCTACACCAGTCTGCATTCCCATCAATACTGTACTAGTGTTCCCTTTTCTACACATCCTCTCTAACACTTGTTTGTTGCTTTGTTTATGATGGCCATTCTGACCAGCGTAAAGTGGTATCTCATTGTGGTTTTCATTTGCATTTCTCTAATGGCTAGTGATGCTGAGCATCTTTTCATATGTCTCTGGGCCCTCTGTGTGTCCTCCTTGGAGAAGTATCTGTTCAAGTCCATTGCCCATTTTTTTATTGGGTTGTCTTCTTGGCATGGAATTGTGTTGTGAGTTCTTTATATATTTTAGAGATCAAACCCTTGTCCGAGGTATCATTTGCAAATATATTTTCCCATTCAGTTGGTTCCTTTTCATTTTGCTGTTATTCTTTTAGCCATGCAGAAGCTTTTTATTTTGATGAGATCCCATTTGTTTATTCTTTCCTTTATGTCACTTGCTGTAGGGGACATATAGGTAAAAATATTGCTGTGTGGAATAGCTGAGATTTTCCTCCCTGTGTTCTCCTCTAGGACTTTTATGGTGTTGCAACTTATATTTAAGTCTTTTGTCCATGTTGAGTTTATTTTTGTATATGGTGTAAGTTGATGGTCAAGTTTCATTTTTTTTCATGTAGCTGTCCAGTTCTCCCAACACCATTTGTTGAACAGGCTGTTTTTATTCAATGTTATGTTTCTGCCCCCTTTGTCGAATCTTAATTGACTGTAGAGATTTGGGTTTATTTCTGGGCTCTCTGTTGTGTTCCATTGGTCTATGTGCCTGTTCTTATGCCAGTACCAGGATGTTTTGATTACAGTGGCCTTGTAATACAGTTTGATATCAATTATTTTGATCCCTCCTACTTTGTTCTTCTTTTTCAAAACTGCTGCAGCTATTCAGGGTCATTTATGTTTCCATATAAATTTCTGATATGTTTGTTCTATATCTGTGAAATATGCCATTAGTATTTTAATAGGGATCACGTTCAATCTATAAATTGCTTTGGGTACTACAGACATTTTGATGATGTTAATTTTTCCATTCTGTGAACACAGTACATGCTTCCATTTATTTGTTTCTTCTTTAGTAGCCAAGTGCTGGAAGCCACCTAAGTGCCCATCAGTAAATTAATGGATCAAAAAATTACGATACATTTACATGATGGAATATTATGCAGCAGAAAGAAAGAATGTGCTCCTACCCTTCATGACAACATGGATGCCAGGCGGTGAAAGACAAATATCATGTGATCTCATCTATAAGTGGAACCTAATCAACAAAACAAACAAGTAAGCAAAATACAACCAGAGACATTGAAATTAAGAATAAATGGTCAGTAACCAGAGGGGGGGTAGGAGGAGATAATCAGGGGGAAAGTGAAGAGGGTCATCAAGGAACATATATAAAGGACACATGAACAAAGCCAAAGGTGGGTAGGATCAAGGATGGGAGGTGGTCATTACTGGGGTGGGTGAGTGGTGCAGGGAAAGTGGAGACAACTGCACTTAAACAATTATAAATAAATAAATAAAATATTGGAAATAGGTATCTATTTATCAAAAGAGACTGATTTTTCCCTAAGCAGAATTTCACCCTCACATGTCACAGCCACTGACATTTAAATCTTTACCAGTCTTGACAAAGTGCCGGATCATCTCCCGTGAGAATTAGACAAGGACACCTTTTTTTACCCCTATTGTTCCTATATTTGTGTGGGATTTTGAGATACTAGTAGATGATCAATTTTTTCTTCTATTTCAGTCTTGCCTTTGGCACCAAAGACTCCCATTAAGAAAACAAAACAAAAATCCTATAAAAATGTGGCATCGTGGTTCTCACAGAACAAGGGAAAGTTACCAGGAGACTGTTTTTGTCTCTACCAGGTTATTAACTTATGAGGTTTAAAGTGATCGTTTAATGAGCCATGTTTCAAGGTGATGTCACAAATACTGATTCTGTCTTTTCAAAATGTTTATTTGGCAAAAAGATGTTAAAAAATAGAAGTTGGGACCTCTGGGTCCTATTTATGCATAGAAAGGAGCACCCACAAAAGAACTTAAATTTCCATCAAAGAGGATGTTATTGCTATCATGTTTTAAGGTCCCTAAACCAAATGTTCATCAAAATCCTGCCATGCTTCATTGTGAATGCAACCTGGAGTCTATTCCTAGCACCATTAGGTGACTTACACAGAGGTAAAAATGACCTCTGTCCTCTTACCTGTCTTCTCACATGTACCCAAGGAGTTACCTTCACTAAAACATACTCATTGGTTTCCTAGCAGGGAGTAGGTGTGAAACTGGTCTAAAATCAGCCAGTCAGAATGCCAGGCACTGGGCTCCTAGATGGTGAGGATAAAGTGATGAATGAAATAATTTCTTTGGAACAAATTGATGAAACAATCAAAACGTGCCAAGTTCTGTAAAGGAGGAAATGTAAGATGGACTTCTGTAGGAGAATAGAAGGGATCTCAGTTAAGAAGTTTGCTAACAGGGAACTGGTGGGCAAGCACTAGATTGCCAGGGGTTTCTCTCCATATTTTTTAAAAATATATTTTATTAACTATGCCATTACAGTTGTTCTATTTCCCCCTTCATTCCCCACCACTCTGCACACCCCTCCCCCACCATTCTCCTCCCATTAGTTTATGACCACGTGTCTCAAGTTCTTTACATTCTATATTTCCCATACTATTCTTGCCCTCCCCATCTATTTTCTACCTACCATCTATGCTACTTATTTTCTGTACCTTCTCCCTCCTTCTCCTTCTCCCACTCCCCTGTTGCTAACCCTCCATGTGATCTTCATTTCTATAGTTCTGCTCGTGGTCTAGCTGTCCTCTTAGTTTGCCTTTGTTTTAGGTGTGGTTGTTAATAACTGTGAGTTTGCTGTCCTTTCACTGTTCATATTTTTTATCTTCTTTTTCTTAGATAAGTCCCTTTAACATTTCATATAATAAGGGCTTGGTGATGATGAACTCCTCCTCAAATTTTATCTTATCTGAGAAGCACTTTATCTGTCCTACCATTATAAATGAAAGCTTTGCTGGATAGAGTGATCTTGGTTGTAGGTCTTTGGATTTCATGACTTGGAATACTTCTTTCCAGCCCCTTCTTGCCTGCAAGGTCTCCTTTAAGAAATCCACTGACAGTCTGATGGGGACTCCTTTGTAGGTGACTGTCCCCTTATCTCTTGCTGCTTCTAGGATTCTCCCCTCCATTTTAATCTTGGCTAATGTAATGATGATGTGCCTTGGTGTGTTCCTTCTTGGGTCCAACTTCTTTGGGACTCTCTGAGCTTCCTGGACTTCCTGGAAGGCTATTTCTTTTGCCAAATTGGGGAAGTTCTCCTTTATTATTTGTTCAAATAAGTTTTCCACTCGTGGCTGTTCCTCTTCCCCTTCTGGTACCCCTATAACTCGGATGTTGGAACGTTTACAGATGTCCTGGAGGGTCCTAAGCCTCTCCTCATTTTTTTGAATTCTTGTTTCTTTATATTTTTCTGTTTGGTCATTTGTTTTCCTCTTTCTGGTTCACTCCTTTGATTTGAGTCCCAGTTTCCTTTCCATTACTATTGGTTTCCTGTGTATTTTCATTCATTTCAATTACTTTAGCCTTCATATGTTCCTCTAATTTGTGCCTATAATCAACCAGTTCTGTGAGCATCCTGATCACCAGTGTTTTGAACTGTGCATCTGAAAGTTTGGCTTTCTTCATTGCTTAGATTTATTGGCTCTGGGGCTCTGAGTTGCTCTTGAGTCATGTTTTGACCTGTTCATGCCTGTTGCATATGAGGAGCGGAGCCTTAGGTGTTCACCAGGGCAGGGCCACCCAGGTCGCTGGTTTGTGACTCTGTATGTGGGGGCGGGTCAGAGAGAGGCCACCCAGGTCGCTGGTTTGTGATGCTGTAGGTGGGGGTGGGGTCAGAGAGGGACAATGGCAGTTCCCTCTGCTGCTTCCTGCCACTGGGGCCTGCATGGTCTGTCTCACTGCTAGCTCCTTCGCTGGTTTATCTGCATGAGAATGTGTGACCGCGATCAGCCCTCAGTGGGTCCACCCACTTCTCCACACCTGGGATCTGCCCACAGCGGCTGGCGCACCTGGGTTGCTCACTTGGGTAGGTCCAGTGGATCTTTCCTGCCCGACCCCACTCTGCTGCTGGCTCTGCCCCTCTTACCAGTTTGCCTGAAGGATTCGTTGTTGTCAGACTTCCTTGTGGTTCAATTTTCTGTGGTTTGGCTGCGTTTTTGTTGCTAAAACTTTGTTGTTTTTAAACTTAGTTGTACGAGAAGGTGCAGTGCTTCCACCTACGCCTCCATCTTGGTGGAAGTCCCCTCCATATTTATTTACTAAGGGGGCGTTTCAATACTGATCATGGGTGACTGTCTGGCTGATCTTTTCTTGGGTTATTATTAGCTACCATAAACCCCTGAAAAGCTTTTTAGTTGCTTAGAGGAAGGTCACCCCAGTTAGTCCTAGTGTGGGTTTCCTTCTTCCTGGTTTTCCAAGTAGCCAAGTTCTCCAGATTGTAACATTCCTGGGTTTTACCCAAAGAATGGAGAAGGAACAATGTTCAGTGTAACAAACTCATCACAACTTTATAGAAGTGCTATAGTTAGAGATTCCTATTGAGAAATACCTGTGTCCATTAGAGATATCAGTTATCACCAAATGCTGATGAAAGCTTTTTAACATAGTATATGGTAAGGAACTGCAGTTATTAGCAGTGATGTTGTCTTTCCATTTTTCTTAAAACTGAAACATGCTTTAATAGCAACGCTGTTTGCTAAGCACTATATACAATGGTTTTATTTTTGTGGAAAAGAAATGCCCTATTTTATGGTATTTAGATGATAAATTGCATTTCCACCAAATTTCTAAGCTAGAATTCAGTGAAGCAGCTAAAATGCCCCTTTATTTGTTAGTGAAAAAAGGATGCATATTCTTCTAACATCAACACAAAGCAACTCAAAAGACTTGAACAAAACTGTCGTGGATTGAAAATTAGTAACCTATCTGACACTTAGAGGCAGCCAGAATTTTCCAAAATTTTAGCTAAATTGATCTTCACTTTGGTCATTAGAGTTTGTTGCATCACTAATTTGGATGGTTACCTTGGGTCATTTATGTGCTTAAAATCAGGCTGGTACTGTAGTTTTTAAGTCCATAAATGGCCTAAAGAGCAGGGTTCTGAGTTGTATCGCTTCCAGGCCTGGCTGGTGTGGCTCAGTGGGTTGAGTGTTGGCCTGTGAACCGAAAGGTCATCAGTTCAGTTCCCAGTCAGGGTACATGTCTGGGTTGCAGGCCAGGTGCCCAGTAGGGGGTGTTGAGCGAGGCAATGATCACGTTTCTCTCCCTCTCTTTTCCCCCCCCTCCCCCCCCGCCAGAAATGAGTAAATAAAATCTGTAAAAATGTTTGTATTGTGGGCCCTGGCTGGTGTAGCTCAGTGGATTGAGCACGGGTCTGCGAACCAGACAATCGCGCTTCAATTCCCAGTCAGGGCACATACCGGGGTTGCAGGCCGGTTCCCTGCAGGCCAGTTCCCAGCGGGGGACGCATGAAAGGCAACTATACATTGATGTTTCTCTCTCTCCTTCCCTTCCCCTCTAAAGATAAATAAATAAAATCTATAAAAAAATTTTAAAAATGTTTGTATTGTTTCCAATCTGATTACGATGTGTATGTACAATAGGTGCTCCTCTCATGCAGCACTTTCCTTGGTGCAGCACAGCACACACCTGTCTACACTGTTTTTCGTTTTATAAAGGACAGCACTGTTTGCCTGAAATATTTGTTTGCACGTGAAGAGTGTTAGTTTTGCTATTAGTTGTTTGAAAAAGAGGTAGTCCTTTTCGTGATTGAAATTAGACTCTATGTTCTTTTTGCTGCCGTTGTTTGTGTCTCCATCTCATGGAGTACTGGAAAACTCACCCCACACTGACGGATTTAGGTCAAAAGGCAGTGGAGCCAAGAAAACACTTTCAGCTCCCTCAATAATGGCTTTGGTGACCCAGTTCCTTTGCCACATGCAGACTAAGTCTAAGAAGTTAAATATATCATTTGATACCTCCGGAAATGTTTTGGTGTTGATCCTGCACAAAATAACAGCACCATTTTGGGTCATTCTCCACATACAGGGACATGGCCTTACTCTCCAAACTCAGAGTATGCAGTATTAACCTCAAAATAAATTCTTACATTACACTTGATGAAAATAATTGGATGCCATAACCTCTGACAATAGAAGCTAGCTGGGAAAAAGACACAGTTTTTGCTGAAGAGATGGATT